TGTTCAATGCTAAATTCTACATATTCACTGGGTTTTAATTTACGCATTTTCCATTCAGCGAAATTATAACCCAGTGAATAAATAACCCTTTCACAGTAGAGTGGATTTTTAAGCTAGAAAACCAAAAGAAACGAAGTTGACACACAGACATCATATCATTTGGACTAATCTACCCATAAACAACATTAGTCTGAATAATCTGAACAGCAATCTGAATGTAAACAACATCAATTTAAATGTAAACAAGCATCAATTCTGAATGTAAACAACATTAATCTGAATGTAAACAACATTAATCTGAATGTCAACAACATCAATCTGAATGCAAACAACATTAATCTGATTGTAAACAACATTAATCTGAAAGGTAAACAACATTAATCTGAATGTAAAGAACATCAATCTGAATGTAAACAAACTCAATCTGAAAGTAAATAATATGAATGTAAACATAAATCTGAATATAAACATAAATCTGAATGTAAACATTACTCTGAATGTAAACATCAATCTGAATGTAAACAACATTAATCTGAATGTAAAACAACATCAATGTAAACATCATCAATCTGAATGTAAACACATCATGTAAACCACATCAGTCTGAATGTAAACAGCATTAATCTGAATATAAACAAAATCAATCTGAATGTAAACAACATCAATATGAATTTAAACAACATTTAATCTGAATGTAAACAACATTAAGCTAATGTAAGCAACATTAATCTGAATGAGAAGAGCATCAATCCATCTGTAAACATCAACCTGAATATAAACAACATCAACCTGAATATAAACATCATCAATCTGAATGTAAACATCATCAATCTGAATGTAAACAGCATCAATCTGAATATAAACAGCATTAAGCTAAATGTAAGCAACATTAATCTAAATGAGAACAGCATCAATCCATCTGTAAACAACATCAATCTGAATGTAAACATCAATCTGAATGTAAACAACATCAACCTGAATATAAACATCATCAATCTGAATGTAAACAACATTAAACTGAATGTGAATAACATTAATCTGAATGTGAATAACATCAATCCATCTGTAAACAACATTAATCTGAATCAATGTAATGGAAATCATCTTGCATATTTAAGCCATCCTATTTATTTGAACATGATCAGCTGAAGCGTGACTGAGAAATGACTCCAGATGGAAAGAAATTGACGCTGAATACAGACTTCATAGGAAATAGGAAATACAGTAAAACTTACATTGAGTTGGTAAAGTGATGTCCTCATGCCTTCTGGCACACTTTGTTTCCAAGATTCTAAAAACTCAGCTAAATTAAACTGGAAATAAAATGATAATTTAATTACAATGTGCACACGTAAAGAACCAGAAATCAAGGAGGTGGGTGATTTCCCTAGGGGGTGAGGTGGCTAATGATTACCCATGTGGGTGTGTGTGCAGATTTCCTCAGGGTGGGTGTGTGTGCAGATTTCCCCAGGGTGGGTGGGTATGCTGATTTTCCCAGGGTGGCGGGGTATGCTGATTTTCCCAGGGTGGCGGGGTATGCTGATTTTCCCAGGGTGGCGGGGTATGCTGATTTCCCCAGGGTGGCGGGGTATGCTGATTTCCCCAGGGTGGCGGGGTATGCTGATTTCCCCAGGGTGGCGGGGTATGCTGTTTTCCCCAGGGTGGCGGGGTATGCTGTTTTCCCCAGGGTGGCGGGGTATGCCGTTTTCCCCAGGGTGGCGGGGTATGCCGTTTTCCCCAGGGTGGCGGGTGAATGATTTTCCCAAGGTGGCGGGTGTGCTGATTTCCCCAAGGTGGTGGGGTATGCTGATTTTCCCAGGGTGGCGGGGTATGCTGATTTCCCCAGGGTGGCGGGGTATGCTGATTTCCCCAGGGTGGCGGGGTATGCTGTTTTCCCCAGGGTGGCGGGGTATGCTGTTTTCCCCAGGGTGGTGGGGTATGCTGTTTTCCCCAGGGTGGCGGGGTATGCCAATTTCCCCAGGGTGGTGGGGTATGCCAATTTCCCCAGGGTGGTGGGGTATGCCAATTTCCCCAGGGTGGCGGGGCATGCCAATTTCCCCAGGGTGGCGGGGTATGCCGACTACCCCAGGGTGGCGGGGTATGCTGACTACCCCAGGGAGGCTGGATATGCTGACTACCCCAGGGAGGCTGGATATGCTGACTACCCCAGAGAAGCGGGGTATGCTGATTTCCCCCAGGGGGAGGGTCAAAATTTAAAACATAGCATACCCAATACAACATTGTCATTGACAAGTCATTGTCAATGACACGTCCCCGTTCCGTTCATATTTGAGTGACATATACATTCAAAGCAGATCATGACCGAAATGCACCTGCATATGTACAACACATTGTGCTAAATCTGAACAAAATCCGTCCATGTATAACTGAGATCCGGGTCCGGAATGGTGAAAATGTGCGATTTCAATGCATTTTCGGCCTTAAAGCGGCCGCCATTTGGCTATCGTTAATGAGATCATGAAACAAATGCACATACATATTTGTGACATGATGTACCTTGTGTGTGTGAAGTTTGAACTCGATCAATCCAAGCATGTCTCAGATACGTATCCAGAACTGAATTCTTTAAAACAAAATGGCCGCCAGTCGGCCATTTCAAACCCGATCCAAAAAAAAAAATGACGTGCATCAAGGTCCTATTATGTTTAATGTATGTACCAAATTTGAACAAAATCTGTCCATGCATAACTGAGATCCGGGTCCGGAATGGTGAAAATGTGTGATTTTGATGCATTTTCGGCCTTAAAATGGCCGCTATTCGGCTATCGTTAATCGGATCATGAAAAAAATGCATGTGCATATGTCCCATATAATGTGTGATGTATGAGTGAAGGTTGAACTTAATCGGTCCATGCATGTTCGAGATACAGGTGATCACGGACGCATGCACGGACGCACACAGGGCAAAACATTAGTCCCCGTTTTTTGGACTACGTCCGAACGGGGACTAATAAAGCTTTGAAACAACTCCTGTGTGCTGAGAAAGAATCAGAGGCATATGATGTAAAATTGTTATATATTTAAAATTAATTCAAACTTCAAAAAGCTTAGATACTAATACAAGTTGACTATTGAAATATTGAAGATAATAATATTCACAGAAAAATTCTTATTAAAACAAAAAGAATACATTTGATTGTATATCTCTGGTTTGCAGTCTAATTTATTCCAGAGTTCAACTATGCAGCATGTTTATTTAAAATCGGATCTTATTTATGCAAATTAGGTAATCATTATGCATTGTTTTCAACCCTAAACTGATCACTTCAAAGGATTACCCCAAGAGCACCTATGTAATCATTGAAATCTGATGAGTTGTTATTGAAATATCTATGGACAAGCTAAGAATATGCTAATTTATGCAAATTTGACAATTAATATACACAGATTTCAACCAAAA